GGCTAGCGCTCTACCACTTGAGCCACAACACCACTTCCGGCTTTTTTCTTTTTGCTTATGTGGTGCTGAGGAATTGAACCCAGGGCCTCAGGCATGCAAGGCAAGCGCTCTACCACTGAGCCACCTTCCCAGCCCATCACATTGACTTTTGTGTTGTATTTTATTGCATATTTTAAGAAATGCTGTGTGATTCCTAAATTGATGAGCTACTAGCGGGTTTTATTTACGTTACAAAAATACTTTTGTGATAGCTAGAAATAGTCAATTTGAGGGCTGTGTGAGAGAAAAAAAGGTATAGTTATTGAAGAATGGATGATCTATAATTAGGTGGTCTCATAATGAGAAGGTAGAATTTTAGCTTTTTAGTTACAACAGCTGACAGGGAACTAAAACTCAAATTTTAACAATGTGGCTATCCTAGGTGAACAAAACCACCTCACTGCTGCTAACCCAGCAGTTTTAATCTTGGCCATCAAATCACTAGCATGTTGTGGCTCTTATTATTGTGTTTATATAGTAAATGTTTATTATTTAAAAAATGAAACCAGCTGGGCACTGGTAGCTTGCACCTATAATCCTATCGACTCAGGAGGTTTAGATCTGAGGATCCCAGTTCAAAGCCAGCTTGGGCAGGAAAGTCAGTGAGACTCTTACCTCCAATTAAAAGCTACTCAGAAAAAAAGCCAGAAGTGGCTTCGTGGCTCAAATGGTAAAGTACTAGCCTTGAGCCAGAGAGGGGCAGGGAGCGTAGGGACACAGAGCACAGGACAGCGTTCAAGCCCCAGGACTGGCAAAAAAAAAAAATGAAACTTTATAGCCCAGCACTGGTGGCTCATACCTGTAAGCCTAGCTACTCAGGAGGCTGAGATCTAAGGATCACAGTTCAAACCCAGCCCAGGACTCTTATCCCCAACTAACCACCAGAAATCTGGAAGCAGAGTTATGGCTTAAAGTGGTAGAACACTAGTCTTGAGCAAAAAAGGTCAAGGACAGTACCCAGGCCCTAAGTGCAAGCCTCACGATAGACATTAAAAAACAAAAACCTGGAATGGATTCTCAATTCATCTCAATGAAGCAAACTGAAGTTTTCACATTTTATAGGTGAGATAGCTGATAACACCCCAAAAAGACTTGATAAAGCCATGTAGCTAAGTGGGAATGAGAAGGAAGAATATACTCAGAGGTGAGCCTCCTGAGTAGCTAGTATTACAGATGTGAGCCAACCACACCTGGCAGGTCTCTTTCTTCTTTACCATACATTCTACCTTATTGTACTGCTTTGAACAGAAGTATGTAAGCACATTTTAACCTATAGTATATTTTCCTTTTCTGCAGGAAGATATACCACGTCAGCTTGTCTACATTGGCCTTTACCTCTTTCACATTGCTGGAGCTTATCTTTTGAAGTGAGTTGGGATTGTGACTGGGTATGTAAGGAGATGGGGGCAGATAGTGTGTTAATATGTCTTAATTGATTTTCTTTACATTTTAAATTTGCTCTTTCAACAGCTTGAATCATCTAGGACTTGTTCTTCTGGTGCTGCATTATTTTGTTGAATTTCTTTTCCACATTTCTCGCCTATTTTATTTCAGTGATGAAAAGTATCAGAAAGGGTAAGTTATTAACCATTCTTGTTACTGTGTAGCTGGTATTGGGAGTCATTTCCTAGCCTGCCAACCCCATACCCTTGGCAACTATATTACTTTTTTAAGATGTTGGTATAGCAGCTTTAAATAAAATGAAACTAGCAATGCTCAGATCTGCTATTTTAATTTCTTAAGTATAGTCTTTCTCAGCTAGAGAGACTGGTGGTTTTCAAGGCTTTGGGACTTACTTTTCTATCCACAACTTTTCCTGCTTTAACTTTTGCATGTTTTTCTTTTTTTTTTTTTATTGTGAAAATACTGTACAGAGGGGTTACAATTACATGAGCAAGATAATGAGTACATTTCTTATCAAGCGTTGTAGCCTCCTCCTTTGTTTCCCCTGCCCATCCCATCCTTCCCCTGCCCCCTCACCCAATCCTCCCACCCAACCCTCCCCCCCACCAAAGTTGTAAAGTTCATTTTCAACATAGGACTTGTACATCTCATTGTTGCAATGGGTCCACCTGTATCCCTATTTAAACGATTTGTTTTTTTCCCTTCCCCTCCATAATTTTTACATGCTTTACTTTTTGAAAAAGAGGTGAAAGAGAAATCAACTTTCAGAAGCAAGGTGAAAGAATACATAATATACAGCATTAAAGATCCTTAAAAAATTGATAGAAAAGTCTAGCTGAAAATAAACATGACAAAGCTCTAATTTGTATAGAATGTAGTCTTAAGGGCTGGGAAAGTGGCTCAGTGGTAGAGCATTTGCCTTGCATGCCTGAGGGCCTGGGTTTGATTCTCCCCAGCACCACATAAGCAAAAAGGAAAAAAGCCGGAAGTGGCGCTGTGGCTCAAGTGGTAGAGAGCTAGCCTTGAGCTGAAGAGCTGAGGGACAGCGCCCAGGCCCAGAGTTCAGGCCCACGACCGGACCCCCCCCCCAAAAAAAAGAATGTATTCTTTAAAAAAAAAAAAAAGAAGCTAGGACTGTCATGAGAATTAGACTTATAAAAAGTATTATACAACCTGATTTTATTTTGTCCACATTTTTCAAAATTGTCCCAAGAAGCATTAGTAGAATCTTTCTTGTTTTGTGATTGTATGAATTTGATTTACCACATTTTTCTTACAGATTTTCCCTCTGGGCAGTTCTTTTTGTTTTGGGAAGACTTCTGACCTTAATTCTTTCAGTACTCACCGTTGGGTTTGGCCTTGCAAGAGCAGAGAATCAGAAGCTGGATTTCAGTACTGGAAACTTCAATGTGCTGGCTGTTAGGTATAGTCAGTTAACATATTGGCTTTTTACTACTTGATATGTGACAGTAAATTACAGGCAACGTATAACATCAGTTACCTAAAAAGTAAGGGGATACATACAGGGTTTAGGAGTAAACACTCACTTGATATCCTTGCATGTATGCTGCAGTTATGTTTCTGAAGGGAAATACCAAGATATCTGTTTAACTTCTAGATTAAATTATTAGTGGAATGGTTGTTAACACCATCTTCACAAAGTAAAATTTGGGGCACTGGATTACTGCTATCAAAGCCCGATGTATTTGATGGCATTTTCATACCTTCTTGATTTTTTTTTTTTTTTGTTTTATCTCTTGTGTTTCTCAGAATTGCTGTGTTGGCATCCATTTGTATTACTCAAGCATTCATGATGTGGAAGTTCATTAACTTTCAGCTTCGGAGGTGGAGAGAACACTCGACTTTCCAGGCACCGCCTGTGAAGAAGAAACCAGCAGTAACCAAAGGCAGGTCTTCTAGAAAAGGAGCAGGTTGGTATCTGGTAGCCCACCACCTGTGGACGTGAAACAAAAGGTTTAAATTGGTTATAGGGTCTTAATTATTTTCAAATCTTCCTCCTTCCCTCCCTCTCCCTCTATTCCCCCCCCCCCTTCTCTTCCTCCTTCCCTCCTTCCCTCCCTTTCTTCTTTGGCAATACTGGGAATGAACTCCAGCTTGCTAGGCAAGCACTCTAGCACTTGAACCATATCTCCAGTCTTTCTGCTTTAGTTATTTTTCAACTAAGGTCTTGTGGTTTTGCCCAGGGCTAGCCTCTATCTAGCCTATCCTACAACAGGATCTTCTAGCCTATCCCGTCTAAGAAGCATGTACCACCAACCCAGCTTTATTTGGAAGGATAAGGTCTTGCTAACGTTTTTTTGCCTAGGATCCTCTTGTCTCAGTCTCCCAATTAGCAGGGGTAACAGGTGTGCACCACCCCACCCAGCCTTTATTTTCAGATCTTAGAAAGAAAACTTTATTTTACTCTTTATTAGAATTAAAGACAAAATTATCTTCTTCTGTTCCAAAGGGGATTCCTTGAGTGAGGGGAATCCATCTCTCAGAACCTGTCCACTGTGTTATGTACTTACAAGTCTTCCAGGATTAGTTACTTTGAGCCATTGTAGACCAGCGTATATGTACATTTTATTGAATAGCTAAGCTAGAATATGGCCTTAGATGTTGTTCACGTTCATATTTTTAGGATTTATTAACAGTGAAAGAGCGTTTGTGTGAAATTTTCATTGATGTGTACAATTAGTTTTAAGCAAATTCACCTCTATTCTCTTATCCACCCAAATTTTTTAATGTTTTTTAATTGTGAAAATACTGTACAGAGGGGTTACAGTTACATGAGCAAGGTAATGAGTACATTTTTTTATCCAGCATTGTTGCCACCTCCTTTGTTTTCCCCTACCATCCCTTCCCTCCCACCTCCTCAGCTACACCCCCTACCCCCACCTAAATTGTAAAGTTTGTTTTTCAACATAGTGTCTTGTATATCTCATTGTTACAATAGGTCAACCTGTATCCTTATTTAAACTTTTTTTTCCCTTCCCCTCCCCAAATTATACTATGGGGTTATACTATGGGGGAGGAACATACAAAGCAACAAAAAAAACCACATTAGAAACAATAGCAAGAAAGAATAAAACACTTGTGTTCCTATCTTGGGGTTCATTTTGCTTCATCTTATCTGGTCATATGTACAAAGCTTTTGACCTTTTCTACTTGTCCCAGACATAAAACAGTTATTGCAAATAAGGGAAACCATGGGACCTATGTTTCTTTGGGCCTGGCTTACTTCATTTAATATAAGTCTTTCCATTTCCTAACAAATGGGGTAGTGTCATTCTTTTTGATGCAGGCATAGAATTCCACTGAGTATGCATATACACACACCACATTTTCTTGATCCATTCATCTACTCAGGGGCATCTGGGTTGGTTCCATATCTTAGCTATGGTAAATAATGCTGCAATAAACATAGTTGTGCTGGAAGCTTTAGTATAGCCTTTGTTTGTGATCATTTGGGTAAATGCCCCAAAGTGGGATTGCTGGGTCATAGGGGAGCTCTATGTGGAACCTCCATACTACTTTCCAAAGTGATTGAACAAGTTTACACTCCCACCAACAATGCAGTAGGATTCCTTTTGGCCACATCCCCTCCAGCATCTGTTGTTGTTAGAGTTCTTGATTATAGCCATTCTAACTAGGGTGCGGAGGAATCTCAATGTTGTTTTGATTTGCATTTCGTTTGTGGCCAGAAATATTGAGCATGTGTCTATTGGCCGTTCTTATTTCCTCTTCAGAGAAGTTTCTGTTTAAGTCTTTAGCCCACTTATTTATCAGGCAGTTGTTTCTTTGAGGATTTGTTTTGAGTTCCAAGTATATTTTAGAAATGAGACCCTTATCCATTGTATAGCTAGTGAAGATCTTCTCCAAATCCATGGGCTATGTCCTTTGCCATGCAGAAGCTCTGCAGCTTCATGCAATCCCATTTGTCCAACCTTTCTTTGATTTGTTATGTTTCTGCCCACCAAAGTTTTAAAAACTCTTCAATTCCTTCTTTTCATCTTTTATTCCCAAACTTATGATCATTTAAGCTTTTGTCTTTCAGCCTCTTTTCTTCTCTTTCTTGTGATTGAAAATGCATTCTGATTAATACTTTCAGTGTTGTACTTGGGATCCTAACGCAGGCAGTTCCTGTTTTAAGAATTCATTATCTCTGATTTGCTGGCGTTTGTTCTCCAGTTTCATCCCCTTGATTCTTGGTCCTTTGCACCTGAGTCTGTCTCCACACACAAACTTAACAAAATACTGGATTGACAATACTTCAAATCTCAAGATTATTATAGACATATAGTTGAGTACTTCAGTGTGGGAATAGGCTGTATGACTCTGTTCACTTTTTATTTTAGTTGTATTTTTAATAACTATATTGGGGTGTGATTCTCACATTCAAGTTACCATGATGCACCTGAAAAATATGCATCTCAGTGGTTTTTTAATATATACTCACAAAATTGTGTGAGCCACTAATTCCAGAAAACTTTGTACCCTTCCCAGAAAAATGCCACAACTCAGCAGTCCTTCTCCTTCTCTCCCCTTGCCCTTGGGCACCAATCTATTTTCTGTCTCTGGATTGGTTTTCCTCTGGACATTTTATAAAAGTGGAACAATACAATATGCAGATTTTTGTGACTGACTTCCTTTATTTAACATAGTAGAGTTTCCCCAGTGTGACAAGATGTATCACTACTTCATTCCTTTTTAGGACTAAATACTCCATTGTACACATATGTATATTTTGTTTATCAGTTTATCAGTTGATAGAGACATTTTGTTTCCATTACTTGACAAGGAATAATACTAACTTTCATGAAGAAATTTTAGTTTGCACATCTGTTTAAATTCTTCTCCTCTTTTATTCCCAAACTTCTTATCATTTGAGCCTTTGTCTTTCAGTCTCTCCTCTGTCTTGTGATTGAAAATACAGTGACATTCTGATTAACACTTTCAATGTTGTACTTGGGTCTATACCTAGCAGTGCGATGGTTGAGTCGCTTAGGGGAACCTGCCACACTGTTTTCCAAAGAGCCTGTGCCATTTTGCATACATTGTTTTACAGGTTGACATCTGTCCCTGGACCATTTGGGCTTTTTTCTGTTGAATTATCTTGATGCCATTTTGTTTTGAAGAAGTGGAGCTGTGGTTCAAGTGGTAGAATGCCAACCTTGAGCAGAAAAAGCTAAAGGACAATGCCCAGTCCCTGAGTTCAAGCCCCAATAAAAAAGTTTAAAAAAATAAAATAAATAAAATAAACTACGTATGTATATATGTATGTATTATATAGAGAGTTTATTTCTAGACTCAAATTCTGCTGCATGAATTTGAGTATCTGTTGTTAGGAGTATCACAAAACCTTGGTTGCTGGTGGCTTAAATATTTAGCTCTTTAAAAAATTAACTTTTGAAGTCAGAAGATGTGAGCTTTCCAGTCTGTTCCTCTTTTTCATGATTTGTTTATTCTGAGTCTCCTACAGTTCTGTATGAATTTTAGGATCAGCTTTTCATTTTCTTACCAAAAAGCCAGATGGAGTTTTGATAGGAATTACTTTTTATCTGTAGATTGTCTTGAGGAATAAAAACATGATTGTCTTTTTCTTCCTTAATCTGATGCTATTATAAAATAGAATCATCTTCGTGATGTCACTTTTAGGTTGTTCATTGCCAATGTATCAATATACTTTAATGTTTGAGCATTGATATGTAATCTCCAACCTTGTTGGATTTATTCTAACAGTGTTTGGTGTGGATTCCTTTGTACTCCATGTCTACAAAAGTCATCTGTAAATAAAAGTTGTTTTACTTCCCATGCAATCTGGATGCTTTTCAGTTTATTTTCTTGCCAGATTATTCTGATTAGAGACATCCTTGTCTTGTTCCTGATCTTGATCCTGATAAGCATCTGGTCTCACCATTAAGGATGATGTTAGGGTTTTATCAAAATGAGGGCTTTTTCTTCTGTGCCCCGGTTGGGAGGGGGTGCATGCATATGCACACACATGCATATTGACAGTTTATACTTTGGTATTGTTTTTCTTTTCTGTTTTGTTTTTCTTAGACTCAGGGGTGTCTCAGTTATGCTAAGCAAGATTTCTACCCAGCCCTGGTTGTGTTTTGGGTTATAAAACTGTATTCAATTTTGTCAAGTGCTTTGGATTTTTTTCTTCTGTATATATTATAATAATGTGCTTTTTTATTGATATTATAGATTATACTTCTTGCTTTTCAGAGGTTAAGCCACATTACATTCCTGAGATAAATCCCACTTTGGTCATGGTTTGTAGCTCTTTCTATATGATATCTTCATTTGGTTTGCTAAGAATTTGTAGAGGATTTTTGTGCCTTATTCTTAAAGGATATTGGCAAATGCTTTCTTCTTGTTTAAAGAGGCTCTCTTGGTTGTTATTTACTTGGATTTTTTTTTTTTTGGTACAGTGTCTTTGCAAGTCATTTGTCAGTGAATTGAAAAATGTTTCCTCCTTTTCTTTGAAAGTGTTCTTGAAAGCAATATTTTGTTCTAAATAAGGATCTCATGTATTTTTCATTAGATTTATTCCCAGGTATTTTTTTCGGGGGGGGGGGTCCAGTTGTGGGGCCTGAACTCTGGGCCCGGGTGCTGTCCCTCAGCTCTTCAGCTCAAGACTAGCACTCTACCACTTGAGCCACAGCGCCACGTCCGGCTTTTTTCTTTTTGCTTATGTGGTGCTGAGAGATCGAACCCAGGGCCTCATGCATGCAATGCAAGTGCTCTACCACTGAGCCACCTTCCCAGCCCCTCCCAGGTATTTTTTTAAACCACAGTGTGTGTGTGTGTGTGTGTGTGTGTGTGTGTGGCCACCGTGTATATGTGTGTGTCTGTGTGGCACACTGTGGAAATTTGCATTTAGGGCTTCTCATTTGCTAGGCAGATAGCATACCACTTGAGCCACAATCTGCAGTCTTGTTTCACTTTTGTTTTTACAATAGGTTTTACAGTAGGCTCCCACTTTTTACTCTAGCCCACTTAGATCACAGTTCCCATGCTTATGCTTCTTGCATAGCTGAAGTACTGCCACTGTGCTCAGATTTTTTTTTTTCCTTTTGTGGAAGTATAGGGGTTTGAACTTCGAACCTTGAGTTTGCTAAGCAAGTGCTTTACCACTTGAACCCACTCCTAATGCTCAGATTTATTTGTTTGTTTGTTTGTTTATTTTGGTCGGTCATGGGCCTTGAACTCTGGGCCTGAGTGCTGTCCCTCAGTTCTTCAGCTCAGGGCTAGCACTCTACCACTTGAGCTACAGCGCCACTTCCCAATGCTCAGATTTTAATTGGTTGAGGTGGAGTCTCTCAAACTTTACCTGTCTGTCCTCAAAATGTAAACCTCTCTATCCCAGGATTTACAGGAGTGAGCCACCATGTCTGACTTACATATGCTATCTTTTGTAGTTTTAATTATTTGTTATGTAGAAATGATGTTGTTGTTTGTTGTTGTTGTTGTTGTTGATTGTGCAGCTTGAACTCTGGGCTAGATGCAGTCCCTGAGCTCTTCAGCTCAAGGCTAGTGCTCTACCACTTGAGCCACAGCACCACTTCTGGCTTTTCTATTTATGTGTGGTGCTGAGGAATCAAACCCAGGGCCTCATGCATGCACTCTAGTACTGAGCCACCTTTTCCAGCCTGACATTACTCTTCTTTTTTTTTTTTTTTTT